AATGGTAATGGTAATGGTAAAGGTAAAGGTAAAGATAAAGGTAAAGGTAAAGGTAATGGTAACGGTAATGTGGATGGGAATGGGAATGGGGATGGGAATGGTAATGGTAATGGTTTTGGGAATGGGAATGGAACGGGAATGGGAGTGGGAGAGATTGAGAGAGAGAGAGAAAACGAGAAAGGAAACATCAACATAATGATGAGGAACAACCTGAAATATCCTAAATTTTCGTCTAAAACCCACAGCGACTCCACAATCCCCCGGCCTCCTCCCCGGCTAGGCAATCCCGGCTGCGAAGGGGGGGGGAGGGGTAACATCCGAAGCCATCCCTTCCCTTTGAAAGGGGAGCCGGGGCTGACCTTCATCTCCGTGAAAGGGGGGGAGGACTTCCAAGCCACCCCCTCTTGAGCCAGGGCCACCCTAGCTAAATTCGCCGGCCCAACGGGCCAGAGGCGTGCTAAGATCTCCGGTAACTGGTTAACAATAATTCTAGTTCGCGCGCGCGGGGCGGCCCCTGGGGGTCCCCCGGCGAAAAGTACCCCGACCGAAGCCCGGGAACTATTACTCAGAGATGGTTTCCCTCCTGGGTGCGGCCTTCCACGCCCCCCAGAGCGCGTCAAGAGGGCCCCCAAGACGGTCCAAGAGGGCTCCGAATCACCGAACGATCGGCCCAAGACGCCCAACACGGCGTCAAGACGGCCCAAGAGGCCTCCAAGACGTCCCAAGAGAGCCCCGACCCTTCCCAAGAGAGCCCCAAGAGGCAAAAATCAATGTTTTTCCGTAGGTTTTTGAAGGTTTTTGGCTTCCCCGCCTTTTCGCCTTTCCGACGCTCCAAGACGGCCCAAGAGGCCCCCAAGACCACCCCAAGACGGCCCAAGAGGCCCCCAAGAGAGCCCCAAGACCGCCCAAGAGGGCCCCAAGACAGCCTAAAAGGCGCCCAAGAGGGCCCCAAGAGGGCCCCAAGAGGGGCCTAAGATGGAGACCACGAACCGAAAATCCGAGCCGTCCGCGTCAAAAGGCCTCCATGACACCCCAAGAGGCCCCCAAGAGGCCCCAAGAGGCGCCAAGAGGCCCGAAAGAGACCCCAAAAGGCTCCGAAACGGAGCCCCAAGAGGCAAAACTCAGTGATTTCAATTAGGTTTCTGAAGGTTTTTGGCCTCCTCGCCTTTTCGCGTTTCCGACACTCCAAGACGGTCCCAGAGGCCCCCAAGAAGCCTCCAAGACCACCCCAAGGCGGCCCAAGAGGCCCCCAAGAGAGCCCCAAGACCGCCCAAGAGAGCTTCAAGACATCCCAAAAGGCACCCAAGACGGCCCAAGAGGGCCCCAAGAGGAGCCCAAGATGGAGACCACGAACCGAAAATCCTAGCTTTCCGCTCCAAGAGGCATCCAGGACGCCCCAAGAGGCCCCCCAAAGGCCCCAAGAGGCGCCAAGAGGCCCGAAAGAGACCCCAAAACGCTCCAAAACGAAGCCCCAGCATACAAACATCAGTGATTTTCTTAGGTTTTTGAAGGTTTTTGGCTTCCTCGCCTTTTCGCCTTTCCGACGCTCCAAGACGGCCCAAGAGGCCCCCAAGAGCGCCCCAAGACGGCCCAAGAGGCCCCCAAGAAGGCCCCAAGACGGCCCAAGAAGGCCCCGAGACGGCCCAAGAGGCACCAAGACGGCCCAAGAGAGCCCCAAGACGGCCCCAAGAGGGGCCCAAGAGAGGGACCAAGAACCGAAAACTTGAGCTTTCTGCCCCAAGAGGGTGAGACCGCCCAAGAGGCCTCCGACACGGCCCAAGATGGCCTATATCGAGCCCTCGGCCCCAAGCGGCGCCCAAAGCCCCACGATGCTCCCAAATGCTCCCAAAGGAGCTCCAAGGAACCCCAAAGAGGCTCTAACAGAAACCCAAGAGGCCCCCAAGAAACCCCCAACGAGGACCCCCAAAGGCCCCAAAAAGCCCAAACGCCAGCGAGGGCACAATACGGGCCGGCGGAATGAGCGAAGCGATTCAATAAAGCTTAGAGAAGGTAGGGGGGCAGGGGTAGCTTCGGAAGCCCCCCGCCTTTCCAAGGGAGGGGAGGGGTAACCTGAAGCTGGGCCCCCCATTTGAGTAAGGAGAGCTCCACGAGCGCGCTCTTTCTAATATGACCCGACAATCCCAAATTTGCAACATTTAGCCGGATGGAGGCTGGTTCCTTTCAAAAATAGGGCTCTCGCTTGAGACGTCTGCAAATGCGATGGCTTTCGCAAGATGTTGCAGCATCGTTGATGCATCTTGGCTTTTCTTCCAGATCCGCCTTTTCCTCCTCTTCCTCCTCCTCCTTCTCGTCATCATCATCATCATCATCATCATCATCATCATCATCATCATCATCATCATCACTATCATCAGCCTACTCATCATGATCATCACCATCTTCATTCACATCACCAACAGCAGCAACAACAGCACCGTCGTCAGCGTACGTCGTCCCTGGACCTCCCAAAGCCCTCCAGAACCTCCCACTCGCCCCTGCTCCTTGAAATCCCTGTGCTCTGAACATGTCACACAAACCTCAAAACTCACCTCCTCATCATCTTCGTCATCGTCGTCGTCAGAGCCGTGATCACATCACCATCGTCATCAACCTCACCACCACCATCATCATCATCATCATCATCATCATCAGCACCATCATCAGCAGCATCATCATCAGCATCACCAGCATCAGCAACACCACCACAACCATCATCATCATCAGCATCACCATCATCATCACTATCAGCACCATCATCACTACTACCACCACCATCCTCATCAACATCAATATCATCAACATTGACGGTAACATCATCAGCATCACCGCCACAACCATCATCAGCAGTACCAACATCAACCTTAGCATCAACACCATGACTACATAATCCTCGAGCATCCTCCTCCGAGCCAAAAGCGGTAAGTGGGTCCAATCTTGTGCGCAACAAGGGAAGCCAGTGCCACACTAGGCTTCAGGAGGCATCGGGCCTTGTGGCGCCCTCGCTCGTCCACATCGTACCTGACTTCTCCCGAACTCTCCTGATCTTTTCCCGACGAGCCAACATAAGTTCGAGGAGGATATCGAGAATGGTCGGCTTGTCATGACTGCGCGCATGGACATGTATGTTTCATGCCACCTTGACGGGCCACGTGTCGTGCGTGTGACCCCCCCCCCTCCAGTTTCCCGCTTTGCGAGTTTGAATGCGAGCTGGGAGTGCAGGACCTACCTGAAGGGTATCTGGGACTCTGCTGGATACTGCGGGCCTGGTCGCACGAGTACTTCGACAAGGGGTGCCAGGAGGAGCTCTGAAGCACAGAGGGAAGCGCAGCGCATCACAACAGCTGCCGCTGCAGGTACTTTCGGCTAGAAAGGCGCCGAAGCCTCTGGCGCTCCACAATCCCCGATTGAGGGCACTAGAAGACACTGATACCGCTGCTCTCTGGACCTCTTCCGGGGTGCAACCCCCAGGATTTCGAGGAGAATCCAGCAGTGGCTTCGAGGGACCTGCAGCGGCATGCATCGCCGATGCATCGCCGATGCATGGCCGATGCAACGGCGCCGTCGGCGATGCAACGGCGCCGTCTTGGAAAGAATCGGGCTCCACGTCGAGCCGCATCGCCGATGCCGCGGCGATGCGGCGCGATCCTCTGGCCCCTTCTACCTCGGACCCCACTCGGGAGGCCCAGATCCCCTGACCCTCTCTTCGACCCCGCGCTCCCTCCACTTCTTGGATCGGCGCTGAACCCCTCTACCTGGCGCGCAGAGCTCGCTAGTGGCGACGCCAGAGGCGCCGCCAGATTGGAGGCGCCCAGGGCGTCTGAACTGCAGGGATCCCGAGCAGATCTGTCAAGAGGCGGGGATCATTGAGGCCAAGTCCGCTCAAAATCGGTCCGCGGGGCCCCCCTTTGGGCCCATCTCGTGCAATTTGTCACCCCGGATCCGTTGCTGACGGACCCGGGGCCCGAAAACGGCCCGCGCAGACCGAAAAGGGCAAACACCTTCTTGACCTCGAGCCGCCCTTCCTGCTCGCCGGAACCAATCTGGCCTCCTCAGAACCCCCGCCGGCTCCACACGCCAGATCCAAGAAATCCGCACGGACCTCCGAAAGCTGATCCTTATACAACCTCCTATGTCGCTCAAGCTCGCGCACCTCGCCGAGGCGCGACCCGCGACTGCCTTTACGCCCCCACACAGCCCGCCCTGGAGAAAGGTAACCACGCTGGCCCAGACCATGACGCGCGAGGCGCGAGCATCTTCGAGCCCCCGCGGGTGACCTGGGCTCCTAGAGGTCAAGCGTCTTGATTTTGTTCAACACAGGGTCACAAGAAGTCTCGCCCCCCTCCTGCGGACCGACTTTTCATGCTGAATTGTTCTTCACGGCCCTGGGGCCCAGCGGAGGCTGCCCCCAGAAGCCAAACACGGCGAAAAACCTCCGTCCCTGACTATCTGCGCCCGTTTTTGTATCAGTCACGGTAACGCCAGTGACCGGCCCCACCCGCCCCCCCCCTGCCTCCTCCCCCACAGGTCACGTCACGATTCGCGCCAGCGCCGTGTGGAAACTAGCCGTTCCTAAGCATTGCCAGACGGCGCCGGCGCGAATCGTGACCCGACCGGCCCCCCTCGGCCTCCAGTCACGCCTGTTACCGCTAGGGGGTAAAAAAAGCCAACTTCTTCTCTTCGTTGGATCTCTGAGCTTGTTCGAGGCCTCCCAGATCGGGTCCGAGTAGATGGGGTTGGAGGTTCGCGCCGCATCGCCGTCTCATCACCGATGCATCCTCGACGATGCGTCGCCGATGCATCGACGATGCATCGGCGATGTCGGCGATGCGTCAGCGGCGTCGGGCTCCGCATCGAGTCGCATCGCAGATGCATCGGCGATGTGGCGCGTTCCCCCGACCCCATCTACTCGGACCCAATCTAGGAGGCCTAGACTGTTCTATTCGTTGGACCTCTGGGCTTGTCTGACTCGAACCCCCGCTTCGGCCCACCCCCGGTCGCTCCATGGTGCGCTGCCGCGTCGGCGAGCGGGAGCCCTCGCCGGGGAAGGCGGTCTGTCCCCGCCGGCGCCGCCGGGGCGACGGCGGGCACGCGTGCGCCGAGAGCGCTCCGGCACTGCCCTGCGGGCGGCGACGACGGCGGCGGCGACGACGGCGGCGACGACGACGACGACGGCGACGATGACGACGACGACGACGGCGACGATGACGGCGGCGACGACGGCGGCGGCGGCTGTGGCGGCGACGGACGACGGGGACAACGGTAGTGACGGCGGCGGTGACAGCGACGGCGACGTCGACGGCGGCAGCGACGGCGACAGCGACGTCCCACGGCGACGGCGAAGACGGCGCCAACCTCCTCTGGGACACTCGCCGCCCTCCGTCGAAGTCGGCGACGGGGACAAGTTGGCCTACGGTTGGAATGGGAAAGACAGCGTGCAACAGCGATCTCCGAAAAGCACGGTGACTCCCCGTGCGGCGATACCCCCCCGCGAGGGCCCCTTCTGCGCTTGCTATCTCCCTGACAGGGCTTCTTCGGTGCACACTACCCTTGGGTCGGGCATGTCCTCCTACAGGCGGGCTTTGGGGAAAAATAATCAACTTTTTAAAACAGAAATTCGCCTGGCGAAGAACCCAACCATATGCAGCTGCCCTGGGTGGGGGAACCGCATGCGGGCACCCCCACTGGGGCCTACGGTGGAGCTCCCTATGGGGCCACGAAACGCTGCCCTGGGTGGGGGAACCGCATGCGAGAGCAGCCACTGGGGCCTTCGGTGGATCTCCCTATGGGGCCACGAAGCGCTACCCTGGGTGTGGGAACCGCATGCGAGAGCAGCCACTGGGGCCTACGATGGAGCTCCCTATGGGGCCACGAAACGCTGCCCTGGGTGGGGGAACCGCATGCGAGAGCAGCCACTGGGGCCTTCGGTGGATCTCCCTATGGGGCCACGAAGCGCTGCCCTGGGTAGGGGAACCGCATGCGAGAGCAGCCACTGGGGCCTTCGGTGGAGCTCCCTATGGGGCCACGAAACGCTGCCCTGGGTGGGGGAACCGCATGCGCCCCCCCCCCCCCCCCCCCCCCCCACTGGGGCCTTCGGTGGAGCTCCCCATGGCGCCACGAAGCGCTGCCCTGGGTGAGGGAACCGCATGCGGGCTGTGCCACTGGGACCTTCGGTTGAGCTCCCCATGGGGCTACGAAACGTGTGATAGGTGTGCCGAGAGCAAAAGCAAGGAGGGGGAGGGGGAGGAGGGAGGAGGACGGAGAAGGGAGGAGGGGGAGGAGGAAGGAAGGAAGGAGGAGACGCGGGGCGCTGCCTATTCAAAACGAGGACCCAACACCACAGGAGGGTTGGGAACAAGTCAAAGAACGATCGAAAATTCGTCCATGGACTATTTTTGGGTTATTTTTGGACATTCCTCCTGTAGAGGGACATGCCCGACTTAACGCTCCCCCCAAGGTGATGGATAGCGTGCAGCGAAGGGGCGGCGACGCCACATCGCATGCCATCTTTCCATCGCCAGCCGTACCTGCCGGAGGAAGGGAGCCCTGGGCCCAGGCCCGGCCCCGTGGGGAGGTCTCCTCGTCGTCGGCGTCGTCCTTCTCCTCCTCCTCGCTCCTCCTCCTCGCTCCTCCTCCTCCTCGCTCCTCCTCCTCCTCCTCCTCTTCCTCCTCCTCCTCCTGCTCCTCCTCCTCTTCCTCTTCCTCCTCGCTCCCGAGCCGGGCTGGTTCTGGCCGAGCGCCAAGGCATCTTACGGCGCCGCTCAGAAGCATGTGGCCGTGCCATCCCACGCCCGCGAGCGGCAGGACGCGGCGTGTGTGAGTTTCCCTGACGATGCCAGGAGAAATGCTGGGGGAGCAGAGGGAAGGTCTTGCTGCAGGGGGATGAGCGTTGTAGGAGGAGAGGGTGCAGGGAGGAGAGGGATTGGTAAGGAGAGGGGGGGATGGGGGAGAGGAGAGGCGGAGGGAAGTGAGGAAAGGAGGAGCGAAGGGGGGGATGGGGGGAGGGAGGGCGGAGCGAAGAAGGGAGGGCGGGGGGGAGGGGGGAGGATGGAAAGAGAAAGGGGGGGGATGGGGGGGGGAAAGAAGGGAGGGAAGGACGGAGGAGGAGGAAGAGGAGGAGGAAACCGCTGATCAAGCTTCGCTCTTGAGGGGGGGGGTCGGGGGCGGGACGCAAACGACGAAAGAATTGACACGCGAGGGGGTGGGGGGGAAAGGAGAGAGGGGGGGGGGTCTCGCTCAAGCTTCGCTCTGCGGGGGGGGACGCCAACGACGAAAGAGTTGACACGCGAGGGGGGGAGGGGAAAGGAGAGAGGGGGGAGAAGGGCAGGAGAGAGGGGGGGGGGACAGGAGAGAGGGGGGGGGCGAAAGGAGAGAGGGAGGGGCGGGGAGAGAGGGGGGGTGGGACAGAAGAGAGGAGGGGGGGACAAGAGAGAGGGGGCGGGGGGGGGGGGGAAAGGAGAGAGGGGGAGGGGCGGACAGGAGAGAGGAGGGGGGGGACAGGAGAGAGGGGGTGAGGGGGGGAAAGGAGAGAGGGGCGGGGGGGGACAGGAGAGGGAGGGGGGAGGGGGAAAGGAGAGGGGGGGGGACAGGAGAGAGGCGGGGGGGGGTCAAGAGAAAAGGGGGGGAGGGGGGGGCAGGAGAGAGGGGGGGGGAGAGGGGGGGGGACAGGGGAAAGGGGGGAAGGGGGAACAGGAGAGAGAGGGGGGGGGAGGGAAAGGCGAGAGGGGGGGGACAGGAGAGAAGGAGGGGGGACAGGAGAGAGGAGGGGAGGTGGGGAGGGGGGCCAGGATCATCGCCATCTCCATCACCATCACCATCACCATCACCATCACCATCGTCTCATCACCATCATCATCATCATCATCATCATCATCATCATCATCATCATCATCATCATCATCATCATCATCATCATCATCATGATAATCATCATCATCATCACCATCATCACCATCATCACCATCATCATCATCATCACCATCATCACCATCACCATCACCATCACCATCACCATCACCATCACCATCACCATCATCATCATCATCATCATCATCATCATCATCATCATCATCACCATCATCATCATCATCCGGAGCGTCCCGGATCGGCGGCACTGGCTGGAGGCCACTACAGTAGGAGAAGGATCAGAAGCAGCAGAAGCAGCGGCCATCTCTTCTTCCTCCTCCTCCTCGTTTTTGCGTTAGGCAGACTTTGAGAAGGGGTCGCAGCGGCGTGCAACATGATTCTGACGAGAACGCAACAAACACCTCCCTGAGATAGCCAAGTGGAACTCACAATGACACGGTGCAACAGAGAGCCGAAAGATGAGAAGAGGGACGACACGATATAACAAAAGGAGAAGCACACAAGGGAGCTTAGCCTGGATGCCCTGACTGAGTAGACACGCGCACGGCTAGCACCACCCACCCCTCGAAGGACAAGGGCCCTCACCGAGGCCAGTTCGTGCCATCACCTAGGGTAGCTGGTAACCAAACTGCTGGCACACATCCTACATAAAACTGGTGCTGGCCTGATGTCGCTGAAGTGCGACGCGGTGCCGAGATATCGATGAGTAATAATTCGATGACACATGCGGCCAATAATGATACGAGAACTCCTCCACACCTTTTCCCCCTCATCCAGTACTGGTCTGAACAAATACCTAAAGAAACGATGGGTGTACATGGGCACTGCCAGCTCGATGCTGGTCTAGCCACTCCACTATCCCTCACCGAGTCTTAAATCGAGTCGCAAACACAGACACGGCGTTTTTTTTTTTTCACACCACCAACCTCCCACCACTCTCCTGGATCGATGCCCTCACCGAGGCTCTTTCATTTATCGGCCACTTGCCGGCATGAAGCCGCGAGGAAAACATATGATGTAGTTATCCACGCACGCGGCCTCCTCCTCCTCCTCCTCCTCCTCCTCCTCCTGTTCCTCCTCCTGTTCCTCCTCCTGAGCATCCTCCTTCGCGTCCTCCACCTCCTTCTCCTCCTCCTCCCCCTTTTCCGCGGAGCGCCTCTTCGCCTTGCAGAGCCTCTGGGTGTCCTTTGGGGCCCCTCTTCAAGCTCCTGGGACTCTTGGAGAGCCCAGAGAGAGAGCTCCAAGAAGCCTCCAAGAGAGCACAGAGAGAGAGCTCGAAGAGGGCTCCCAGAAGGCTCCCAACAGTATCATACCAAGGCAAGGTGGCGGGATGGGCCGTGGGCCACCAGATAATCCAAGAGACCCCTGAGATCACCCGAGCGTCACCAGAGAGCCCCCAGAGGGCCCACACACAGGATTCTCCAAGGGACGACCATGCTCGCCTCCCAGATGGTCAGGATGGCGCTGTATTGCCGCCCAAACGATCCAAAACGCCCTCACAGACGGCGAAGATGACCCCGTCTGACCTAAAATGGCCCTACGATACCTCCAAGACTGTCCCGGATGGCTGCAACATGCCGCCATGAAGCCTGAGAGGCTCCCAGAGCCCCGACAAGGCTCCCAAGAGGTCTCCTCCTCCTCCTCCTCCTCCTCCTCATCATCATCAACACCCTCCCTGCTGTCCTCCTCGTTTTCCTCCTCGTTCTCCTCCTCTTCCTCCTCCTGCTCCTCCTCCTCCTCCTCTTTCTCCTCCTGCTCCACCGCCTCCTCCTCCTCCTCCTCCTCCTCCTCCTCCTCCTCCTCCGCCTACTCCTCCTTCTCCCTCTCCTGATCCCCCCCCTCTTCCTCCCCCAGCGGCTGCGAGAGCACATAGGCAGATAGCTTGGCAAAGCTGTGCATCGCTCCTTGGGAACCTCATGGGGCATCAGGGGAACTCTTCGGGGGGTCTGGTCCCAACCTTCCCGAACACCTCTGGCTGTCACCTTCTTCGTGGGAGGGTGGCGATCTTTTGTCCTAGGGGGGACTCGCTCCCCTCTCTTGCCCTCAGTGGCGTGCGATCCTCCCCCTCCTCCTCGGAGCCCCTCTTTCTGACGTCGGCCCGCCTCCTTGCTGATCAAGTCCTTGTCATTGAAGGAGACGGCGGGTGACACAAAGGTCAGCGGGGCTGGGGCCTCTGGCGGGGTCGCGGCTGTGGCTGATCGTCCTCCCCTTCCTCCGCCCGCCTCCCTCCTACAGTTGACTTGCAACTTCCAGCATGGTGACTGTTCGAAGCGTGCTCGATTGCTCGTGCAAGAGGCTGGGACGGGTGTGCGGCGGCTCGCGGCGGTGCTCGGAGCAATGCCTCCGCCATTGCCCTTTGGCGCTAGGTCGGGTTTGTACTCCTACAGGCGGATTTTGGACGAAAAATACATCATACTCAAAACATGTAAACCATGCAACAAGAGCATCCAAGACATTGTCCCCAGACTATATTTGACAATGTCTGATAACTCCTCCCGTAAAAGGGGCATGCCCGACTTAACTCTAACAGTCGCTGCCTGGCTTGCTGGAGCTGTCGCCCCTGCCTCACTTTCGGGCGCCGTTGTCATGTTTTTTTCTCGAAGTCGCAATACGGGCCCAGGGTGATATAGCAAACCCAAAAGCCCTCTGGAGGGACACCTCCCACGTCCTGGGGTCGGTCCTAGTTTTGGCCTCCACCCCGCCCCAGAGACAACGAGCCAAGAATTTGCACAACTCCGCAATGCACTCCTGGAGCGAAGCTGTACGGAACTCCCCCTGGACCCCCTCTGCCCATTGCCTACCGTTGCCGACCAGGGCGATTGCACCTCCCACCCCCAGGCACATAATAAGTTTCCCGAAGCTACACCCGTACATGCACTGCGCAAGCATCACCTTCTCGACGCCTGGCAACGACAAGATCCATCGAACCTCGACCAGTACCCACGACGAGGGAGCCCGGGGCCGCCAAGTGGGCTCAGTTGGGTGCTCCATAGTGGCGGGGGTGTCATGCCCCGCGCACGCAACAGTGAACCGGCACAGAGTTTTCAGCAAGACGTTGCCGAGGTCCACTTGTTGGGGCTCCTTGCTCGTCAAGCACTGTAAATCCCGGGGAGGGGGGCCTCTTGGAACGGACCGGCCTGGGACCCACGACCGTTGGCCAGCGCATGATTGCTGGCGGCGCTGTACGTGTCGCGCGGCTGTCCACCGAGCAGGCAAGCAACCAAAACGGCCCGCACCAGCTTGATCGAGTGCTCGATGATGGCCTCCACACTCTCAGACATGATCGCGTCGTAAAATTAGCCTGGCGAAAGACCCAACCATATGCAGTTGTGGGTATCGCATTCGGGGAAGCCCCCTATGGGGCCACGAAGCGCTGTACTGGATGGGGGGGGACGCATGCGAACTGCGCCACTGGGACCTTCGGTGGAGCTCTCTACGGGGCCACGAAACGCTGTAGTGGGTGTGGGGAGGACGCATGCGAACTGCGCCACTGGGACCTTCGGTGGAGTTCCCTCTGGGGCCACGAAACGCAGTACTGGACGCATGCGAACTGCGCCACTGGGACCTTCGGGGGAGCTACTGATGGGGCCACGAAACGCTGCCCTGGGGGGGGGGGGGGGGGCGCATGCGAACTGCGCCACTGGGAACCCCCTTGGGGCCACGCGCTGGAGCATGGAACCTGGGACCTTCGGGAGCTCCTATGGGGCACGAACGCTGTCGGGTGGGGGAACGCACGCGGGCTCCTGTGCCACCCTGGTGGAGGGGGAAACGAAACGCTGCCCTGGGTGGGGGAACCGCATGCGGGCTGTGCCACTGTCGGTGGAGCTCCCTATGGGGCTACGAAACGCTACCGGGGGGGGAAGCGCATGCGGTGGCCACGGGACTTCGGTGGAGCTCCCTATGGGCATGCGAAAGCGCCACTGGGACCTCGGGGAGGACCTAGGGGGCCACGAAAGCGCTTGCCCTGGGTGGGGTGAGGGGGGGCGCATGCGAACTGCGCGAGGGCCTTCGGTGGAGCTCTCTATGGGGCCACGAAGCGCTGCCCTGGGTGGGGGAACCGCATGCGGGCTGTGCCAGTGGGACCTTCGGTGGAGCTCCCTATGGGGCCACGAAACGCTGCCCTGGGTGGGGAACCGCATGCGGGCTGTGCCAGTGGGACCTTCGGTGGAGCTCCCTATGGGGCCCGAAGCGCTGCCCTGGGTGGGGGAACCGCATGCGGGCTGTGCCACTGGGGCCTTCGGTGGAGCTCCCTATGGGGCCACGAAACGCTGCCCTGGGTGGGGGAACCGCATGCGGGCTGTGCCACTGGGACCTTCGGTGGAGCTCCCTATGGGGCTACGAAACGCTGCCCTGGGTGGGGGAACCGCATGCGGGACTGTGCCACTGGGGCCTTCGGTGGAGCTCCCTATGGGGCCACGAAACGCTGCCCTGGGTGGGGGAACCGCATGCGGGCTGTGCCACTGGGACCTTCGGTGGAGCTCCCTATGGGGCCACGAAACGCTGCCCTGGGTGGGGGAACCGCATGCGGGCTGTGCCACTGGGACCTTCGGTGGAGCTCCCTATGGGGCTACGAAACGCTGCCCTGGGCGGGGGGAACCGCATGCGGGCTGTGCCACTGGGACCTTCGGTGGAGCTCCCTATGGGGCTACGAAACGCTGCCCTGGGTGGGGGAAACCGCATGCGGGCTGTGCCACTGGGACCTTCGGTGGATCTCCCTATGGGGCTACGAAACGCTGCCCTGGGTGGGGGACCGCATGCGGGCTGTGCCACTGGGACCTTCGGTGGAGCTCCCTATGGGGCTACGAAACGCTGCCCTGGGTGGGGGAACCGCATGCGGGCTGTGCCACTGGAACCTTCGGTGGATCTCCCTATGGGGCTACAAAGCGCGTAGGGGGTGTGCCGAGAGCAGAGGCAAGGAGGGGGAGGAGGGAGGAGGGCGAGGAGGGGGAGGAGGAGGAGGAGAGGAGGTGGGACGCGGGGCGCTGTCTCTTCAAAACGAGGACCCAACGCCACAGGATGGTTGGGAAAAAATCAGCGCGGGAGGTTTTGTTTACTTCGGCCCGTGGGAGCCCTCGCCCGGCCTCGGGACCGTGACAAAACGACTCGGAATGAAAAGCGAGTCCCAAGGAAAAGGTCGGGACATCCAGGGGCCCCGCGCTGAAAATATCAAGACGTCGCATGGGCTGAGATCTCTCCCAACGCAGCCAGGCTGGCCATATCCATCCAGACGGGGCGAACCTGGTGGGCCTAGGCCCGAAAGGTTTCGATCCACTCTTTTGGAGGTCCGCGGTTCGACGCCTCCCCGAGAAAAGATGCAGGATGAATTAGCCTGACGAAAGACCCAAACATATGCAGTTGTGGGTATCGCACTCGGGGGAGCCCCCTATGGGGCCACGAAACGCTGTACTGGGCGGGACGGGGGGGCGCATGCGAACTGCGCCACTGGGACCTTCGGTGGAGCTCTCTATGGGGCCACGAAACGCTGTAGTGGGTGTGGGGAGGACGCATGCGAACTGCGCCACTGGGACCTTCGGTGGAGCTCCCTATGGGGCCACGAAGCGCAGTGCTGGACGCATGCGAACTGCGCCACTGGGACCTTCGGGGGAGCTACCTATGGGGCCACGAAGCGCTGCCCTGGGTGGGGGGGGAGGTGGGGGCGCATGCGAACTGCGCGACTGGGGCCTTAGGTGGAGCTCCCTATGGGGGGGAACAGCATGCGGGCTGTGCCACTGGGACCTTCGGTGGAGCTCCCTATGGGGCCACGAAACGCTGTCCTGGGTGGGGGAACCGCATGCGGGCTGTGCCACTGGGACCTTCGGTGGAGCTCCCTATGGGGCTACGAAACGCTGTCCTGGGTGGGGGAACCGCATGCGGGCTGTGCCGCTGGGACCTTCGGTGGAGCTCCTTATGGGGCTACGAAACGCTGCCCTGGGTGGGGGAACCGCATGCGGGCTGTGCCACTGGGACCTTCGGTGGAGCTCCCTATGGGGCCACGAAGCGCTGCCCTGGGCGGGGGAACCGCATGCGGGCTGTGTCACTGGGACCTTCGGTGGAGCTCCCTGTGGGGCTACGAAACGCTGCCCTGGGTTTGGCAACCGCATGCGGGCTGTGCCACTGTGACCTTCGGTGGAGCTCCCTATGGGGCCACTGGGACCTTCGGTGGAGCCTCCTATGGGGCTACGAAACGCTGCCCTGGGTGGGGGAACCGCATGCGGGCTGTGCCACTGGGACCTTCGGTGGAGCTCCCTATGGGGCTACGAAGCGCTGCCCTGTGTGGGTGAACCGCATGCGGGCTGTGCCACTGGGACCTTCGGTGGATCTCCCTATGGGGCTACGAAACGCTGCCCTGGGTGGGGGAACCGCATGCGGGCTGTGCCACTGGGACCTTCGGTGGAGCTCCTGGGGCTACGAAACGCTGCCCTGGGTGGAGGAACCGCATGCGGGCTGTGCCATTGGGACCTTCGGTGGAGCTCCCTATGGGGCTACGAAACGTGTGAGGGGTGTGCCGAGAGCAGAGGCAAGGAGGGGGAGGAGGGCGGAGGGCGAGGAGGGGGAGGAGGAGGAGAGGAGGTGGAACGCGGGGCGCTGTCTCTTCAAAACAAGGACCCAACACCACAGGATGGTTGGGAAAATGTTGAAACCTGGCGCAGCCTGCCGAACTTCCTCCACGCTGGGGGAGTCGATCGGGTCGAGCATCTCAGAATGCGGGGGCGGGATCAGCGGGGTCGTCGACCTCGCCGCTGCAACGAGCGCCTTCTCCTGGTGCAGAGCGGGGCGTCGACGACCGCAATGTTGTGCTCTTCTGCCCCGCCCTCACAGCTACAGACAGGCCTCTAATTGAGCTCCTGGGCGGAAGCCTCCCTGTCGGCGGGGTCCACCAGCTTTCGGGGGCCCATCCAGGGGGCCCCGCGCGTCCGCGCCTTCTTGGCAAACAGAATCTCGAGCCGGCAAGCAAAAGGGAAATGTGGTTGCCCTGTGAATTTAATTTATTTTGTTCTGCGCACGTGCGACTGCGAGTTTGTCTTGCAGATGCGAGCTTTGTCCGCCGACTCTGGCGGCATTTGTCTTGCAAATGAGCCCCGTACCGTGGCCCAGGCGCCGCTTCTGCTCCCTGTCCGTTGCCTCGGAGCCGCTGACCCCCCCCAAAAAAGGAAATCGCAGCCCTTCAATC